CTAGCATCAACCTTAAGCCCTAAACCCTAAACCCTAAACCCCTAAACCCCTAAACCCAACCCTAAACCCCTGAACCCTGCACCCTAAACCCCTAAACCCCTAAACCCTGAACCCTAAACCCTAACTCCAAGCGGGCTGCGGATCCTTGCTCGGAGGCCGGTACGTCAGCTGGGCCAGCTCAGGCCCTGCCAAGACCTGGCGAAGATCCGAAGAAAAGGAGGTTGTATGGCTTATTCTAGTAGATGATGGTATGTTGCAGTGTAATAATGATAGGACCTTGTGCTACACTATAGCACATGATCATTTTTATGGCATAATCATAAAACAATTATACTGCAAACTATAGTTTGGTCGAATCTTCTTATGTGCATGCGAGCATGCGGGTCGGGCAAAAGGGGGTACGAAAGTGCGCACGCATGTGTGGGTGAGTGACATCAGCACACTGAGAACTTTCATTGCCGCTGCTCCTAAAGACTAGGTACTTCTGCCGACGCCATGTCCGCAATGATCAGGCATGCCCAGTTCATATCTCCAGATTGAGCTGCGCTATGTTCAAGGAGTTGCCCAGTGTCTTGACGTGAACACAAAGCTCAGATATCAAACAGTTCCCGCGATGCTCGGATTGCAGCATGTAACTCTCCGACGCCGGAACTGCAAATCCCCGTTTCCGGCCTTGATCACATCGGCGCCAACCTGTAGTTGAAGCATGCTAAGAATCATGACGAATAGTTGTTTACGTTACACATTTACGGCACGTTCAATTCGAGGAGCATCGGTTTGAACCGATTGAGCACCGGCGCGTGCGTACGGAAACTTTACTAGACTCAGCTAGTCGCTGATCGACACCATGGTGAACACTCGAGCTGAGGAGCCGAGAGCGATCTGTTGAACCGAGTGGTCTGCCTTATCAATGTCTTGTCGTGCTTCCCAATTCCGGTCGGTCGAGACAGCACGAAACACCGGCAGCCAAATAACTTACGTGCACTCAGCGCGGTGCCCATACCGTGGAGGGCGCTTTGCAAGCAGTCCGTACCTGGAGAAACAAATGCACTAAACCTGCACTCGTCCTCACCCCACCCTAAAGCCGAAAACCCGAAATCCCCAAGCCCCAAATACCCAAAACCACCCCTAACCCCTAAATCCTCAACTTCGAGAACATATCAGACAAGCCCACTCGACCTCGAGGTCCGCCGTGGCCCGTTGACAACCGGGGCCTGGGCCGGGACGCGGAGAAGTCCAAAGCAGATCCCAAAACGGCCAGGACACAGGGTTCGTTTTTTTGTTTAAGCACCCTTTTCCACCTAGCAGCTCGGGTTCAGGGTTTAGGGTTTAAAGTTTACTGTTTGGGAATTAGGGCTTTCATGGAAGAATCGGGACTAAAAAAAGCAGCAACAACATCCGAAAAATCATATATAAAGAGCAAGAACAGTTATGGTATGGCAACACTTGACAATGCTGTGGTCTCCCGTAACTGTAAACAAGACTAGCAAAAAAAAATCTAGCCATAAACCACAATCATAATCTGCTACTGTACCTCGGCATCTCGAATCTTCTTGCATGTGGCAGTATATGGTGGTGGATCACGCCAGAAACAAGTGCCCCCGGGCAAGCACGCTCGCACTCAGGCATCCGTTCTGGATATATCATAGACAGGCGCGCAGCAACACAAAAACGGCGAGGCATATTGATTTTTTAGACTGGGATCCATTTCCCAGGCAAGATCATCGAGCTCAACGTTCCAGCTAGTATATACCATCTTCAACAGAAAGTAGGACCAGCACTGGCGCCGACTTTCACCAAAGCTCAAGGTCGACATCTGCACCCATCAGACCTATCAGCTTTCTTAATGAGGAATCCTCACGAGCTTCGGGCGTCGTTGATGCATCATGCTGCGCAGACTTTTCAACTTTGAGCGATGGCAGCAATCCGTGAGCGTGGCAGGGATTCGCAACAGCGACACATTGCGACATGGACACCCCGTGGGCAATCGGCATCTTTTTCATACATTGGCCGTGTCAGACCTATCAGCTTTCCAACCGAAGATATCCATGAGATTGTCACTCTTCGTTCTGTCATCACTGCGGCAGTTCAAGGTGGCAGGAATCAAGCAAACACGCGACATAAGCTTCACCGCGACACAAGCTTTGGCGGGACAACCGACGACGGACGGCGGCTGCAAGAGCACAGGCAATCAGACCTATCAGCTTTCCAATCGAGACTCTCCATTAGACTGTCAGTCTCGTTCCGTCATCATTGCCCAGCGTGCATCTTGCTTCGCAGACACGATGCATGTGCCCTCGATGCATCGCCCACATGCAAACTGCAGCTGCAAGATCTGTGCCTCAGACCTATCAGCTTTCCAATCGAGGTTCTCCACTAGATTCGTCAGAACTCCTTGTGTCATCATGACGGCAGATCGTCGCGGAAGTCCGCACCAACACGGCGACCGCAAGCTTTGGCGCCATGGTCGACGAGCGACGTTTCCTCGAAGGAAAAAGCCCCAAGCACTACGAGCTGGGACCAGCTAGGAGTCGTCACCTACTCCACTTCTCCCATCCATCCTGAAAGAAGCCACCTAATGTCATGTGGACGTCCAGCTTGCAAATACCCGGAGCCCCTGAAACATCTGCGGTCTCTCCCAGACCCCGTGCACTGCACCCGCAGGACTTGCCGGGGTCGGTGCTGGAACGAGGCCTGGCGTAGCAAACGCGACGGTATTTCGGTTTCGCAGTTTCGGATGTTAGGACGCTCCAGTCAGGGCCTATGAGGAATGCACGATTGACAAACCTTGAGTCAGGAGTTTGCTTTGGAGTGCAAGGTCCGGACTTCCCGGCTTCAGTGTCGGGGCTTTCTTCGATTTCAGGACCACGAAATAGAGACGTGGGCCCATGCCAATAGTTGCCAATGTCAAGAACCGACAATCACTCCTCAGCTTGAACTCGATAACGGGGGACTGCGTCCACAGGCCTCGGCCTCATCGGAGGCCCGTCATCCTGGCATCCCCATGCCCGCCATACCCTTCCTTGTAAGCCACAGCGCGCTGCGAGTTGTTGCTGCCGCACCCAAGACTTGAGGATTCTGGAGACCTTCCCTCCAGGCACAAAAAACAGTTGCAGGCTCTGCACGTCATGTTTCTCGGAGCTTCTCCACGTGCTCCGGAGCTCTGACAGCGGCCGCCTCGCCTCATTCGCGAAGCGTGCATGGAAGAGGCCGGCACCTGTGCCTGTGCAGCAGAAACTGACCCAAAGCTCATGGATCCCAGAACCAGCATTAATTTAGAGCACTTCCATATCCCTTAAATTCTACGAACTCCCTGTCCAGATCATGTAAAACCCTTTTTGTTTAAACACTAAATTACATGACGGTAAGATCCAGCCTGGCCCTCGGCAGGCAGAGTCCACGAAGGCACGGACCTCCCAGGGGCTGATGCCGAAGCCCTCCCGAAACGCCAGGGCGCCTGGCGCGAGCGCTTGAAACATGTGGCACCCGTCTGCGAGTAGTTCTGAGAGTGATAGCTATGACAATCACCATAATATATCATAATCATCGTGGCATTGATGGTATTGACCAAGCATGCACTGTAAGGCCGGACCACTGAAGCGGCAAAAACCTTCGTGACCTTCCTACTGCACCCCAACCTGCGCCTCGCGCTTAAAATGCGTAAACTCGTGACCTTTGTCTGTGTTCGATCCTGAGATTCGCGGTTCCAACTCGAATTCGAGCGTTGGGATCCCCGGCGGCTCCACACGACAATGTTTGACAATAAAGCCGTCTTGATTGATCTACGTACAACTCTATCTAGTGATTGATGCTTCATTGCTAAGAAGTATATCTAATTTTACATGGAGATCCTTTTCGACTATGTATGTATGTATATATATATATACACATGTTTGTGCTTGTGTGACCACTAAACAGAACATTGCACTTTCAGAAGCTGCGCTAGGCAATCCAAGGACAAAAGATGCAATTGCCCCAAATTGCCTCCAGCGACCTCTGGAGAACAAGCTCTGGCTTTGCGGAGAGACTCCGACGATGATTCTACCGATAACTTGCCGTTATTTCTCAATTTGTTACAAGTGGCATGCCCCTAAACCGGACTTTAAAAGGAAGCCTAATTTAGACAACTACCCAT